CGACACTTGTTTTGTTTTTTATCAGTGTATAACCTTTGTTTGCTTAACTGAGTAACTAGTTTCAAACATATGACACTACCTTCCCTCTTCAATTGGCCATGTTTCCTAATTCAAAGCTTGACATGTGAAACAAAAAGTCAAGCAAACCAAACCAGAATTTCTAACTCAGATTTCATAATCACTATTATATATTTTGACCTTGTTATCGTGGCGCCACAGTATGAGTAAATCCCAGACTTTGATTACAAATTCTGGGCACTTTTTTGGATTTTTGAAACTACTGTATATGATATTGAGAACTTCAACAAATATTGAGATGTGTTGAAATTGAAATAGCTTGATTATATGTTATGATGTTGCAGGACATAGTTCACTTTCATTTTGTTAATGGTGAAGCCTCATAGAGCTCTTGTTTCATGTAATTTATTAAGTAACAGACAACTTTCATTACAACTATGGAATGAAGAGAATCATGATATATATATATATATATATATTAGTAGATGTGCACACTCACATGAGTGTACTTGAAATAAGCAGTATGGATATATAGCCTGTTACAGATCATCTATGAATATTTATAGAATGAAAGAGAAGCATAGTATAGATGTATTAGGGGATATAAAGATCCATTTCACATGGAGGAGAAAAAAGGCCTCAAGATACCAATAGATGTGTTCCCTTTATATGTAACGCCCTCAAAATAAACCCATTATATGTATATCATTGGCATGTAATATTAAAAGAAAACAATTCATTATCTCATTCATCAGAGTATTACTAAATGAAAACATTACATGTAATATCAAATTAAATGCCCTATGGGCTTACATCTTTCCAAGCCAACACTTGGACACAAAAATATGAGTTCTAACTCAAATACAAATAAAGCCCTAGGCTTGAATGTTTATCAAATAAAAACAAATAACTAAAGATAGTCTTCAAAATCCAAATCCTTCCAAGCTAAGTCCTTGGAGGTAGCTTATCACCTGGACCTGAAAATGATGTTCCCATAAAGGGTGAGCCACAGCCCAGTAGAAAAATACTAAACCAAATATAAGCATTGAATAAAGCAATAGCATTCAATAGATGGTTAACCAAGATAATCAATTACATCATTATACAGTCTCATGACACTAATGTCTAAGACACATTTCACTTTCCATAATTATCAACATGGCTCCTTGAGGCCTGAACCGACTGAGCTGGCTGCTGACCCTGAATCTGCCTCAAACCAGATGCACCAGGTGTGCCACTCAACTGCGGGTAACTCAAATACAAATAATGCCCTAGGCTTGAACGTTTATCAAATAAAAACAAATAACTAAAGGTAGTCTTCA